TTTTCTAAGAAATAATGTTAACCACACACATGCCAGAACATGAATCTAAATATCTAGACTCTTACAGGGTAGAGATGATCACAAAGCTGGTTTTCAAGACACAAATGCATATAAATAATGGAGGGGCACTTTCTTCTTTATAATGCTAAAACTTTAGAAAAATGCTTATATACAAGTATTTTTTAAATAATTCGCTTCAAAACATTATAAGCAAGCATTTTTAAAATAATCCATTTTCAAATATTTGTTTGTGAAATACTTTATAATTAATTTAAGACTACCAATAATTCTGTTAAAAGCAATAGGAAGTTACAATAAGATTAACCTTTTTGCTTTTAAAATAGTCTTCCAATTAAACAGCAGACATGCATTTATCTCTAATTTTTTTTTGATTTTTTTTAAATACTTTCTTTTTATTTGTTTATATGATAGTCACACAGAGAGAGAAGCAGAGACACAGGCAGAGGGAGAAGCAGGCTCCATGCACCGGGAGCCCGACGTGGGACTCGATCCCGGGTCTCCAGGATCGTGCCCCGGGCCAAAGACAGGCGCCAAACCGCGGCGCCACCCAGGGATCCCCTATCTCTAATTCTTATGAAAAGTCCACTAAAATATAAAAAGTTATAAACAAACAAGGAAACAATACAGGTGGGAAAATAATTGACAATATGCCAACAAGTTTTGGGACATAAATGAAAACTGGATAGAGTACGGGTAACCAATTAGAGAGAAGGAAAAACTAACATTTAAGTGAGAAACTGGATCCATGCTCAGGCAAGGAGGGAGGTGGAGGGGAGGAGCATGATAGAAATACAAGACTGGCTGATAGCTTGTGGAAGAAGCAGTAAGACTTTTAAGTACCTTCCCTAGCCTATGGAGGCAGGTGACGGACCCTAACATAGGTAGTTTAATCCCTAAAGATATTAAATCAGAAAAGTCTTGAACTCAGGAAAACTGATTAATACAAAGAGATTGTATTGAGTAAGCCTACACAGTGCACACTGTTTGACTTGCAGCCACATCACCCCAACCTCTACCTCTGTGGTTACTTTGCCTCTTCCACTTCTGTCAAATATCCCTTGTGCACCTCTTGTAAGGATATTTAACACTGGATTTAGAATCCATCCATATAATCTGAGATGATCTCTTCACCTCAAGATCCTTAATTATATCTGAAAAGACCCTTTTCTAAATAAGGTACATTTATAGGTTCTGGGAATTAGAACACAGACTTATAATTTTTTTTTTTTTTATGATAGTCACAGAGAGAGAGAGAGAAAGAGAGAGAGAGAGAGAGAGAGAGGCAGAGACATAGGCAGAGGGAGAAGCAGGCTCCAGGCACCAGGAGCCCGACGTGGGATTCGATCCCGGGGTCTCCAGGATCGCGCCCTGGGCCAAAGGCAGGCGCTATACCGCTGCGCCACCCAGGGATCCCGACTTATTATTTTAGGAGCCACCGTTCCATCTACTACATATAATTCAGCCAACACGTTAAAAATGAAGATATCCTATACCCTTCCCCAGAAAGCTACTGTAGGTAAATGTGACTTCATCAAAATGAGAGTGAAAGCCAAGAGAAAATAAGTCCAAGAAACAGAAGCTACCGCAAAGGGAAGAAGCAAGGGGAAGTCCCAGAGCAGTGCTAAAGCAAACTCCAAGTGCATACCACGGTAAAGAACAACCAGTCTAGATTGTACCAAGATGGCATGGAAAACGTAATACTGAGAAGGGTTTAAAAAAAAAAGAGGCAACTGTTACCTCCAGAAAACAAAAGCTGTAAGGAAGCTAAGTTGAAGAATAGAAAAGTATTATTTTCATACATTACTTTGTTCAGGAGTGAATGATGTTTACATTGAATACTGATTTAGCTAAAAGTAGTAATATACTAAAGTGGAAGGACACAGTACGGGAAGTATGGCAGCAAAGGAAAGTGATAATTCCTTAACTTCCATAAAAGGTATCTAATATTGATTTTAAAAGTCTAAATATTATTTAAGACATGAAGGTAAATACAACAGATGTAAGAATTGAACACAGTTACCTCAGAAGAGGGCAAAACAAGGAGCAGAGAGGGATGGGGAAGAGCACTAGCAATTTTATTTAGTCACAGGTTCCCTTTTGAAACTCTGCTCCTATTACTTTGAAAATAAAATTCATTTTATGCCCCAAAAAAGAAAAGGTTCTCAGAAAAGTGTCTTGTTCAGGATCATAACATAGTTAAGAAATATCTATCACAACACTTTAAAACCTTGTATACCTTGCAGGAATATGGAAATTCTTGAAAAGGGATTCTTAAAAATAAATTCCCAAGTTCTGAGTGTTCCTAAGGAATAAAACAAAAACAAAAACCAGACACAACCAAAAGCACTCCTAATGTATGTTCATGTAATGGATCCAATCTCTAGTTTATATTATTGCAATTCTATCCAGCTTCTTAATATAAAACCAGGGCTCTTTTTTGTTTTTGAATGTAAGACTTTAAATGCCACAATTACAAATAACAAATATAACAAAATAAAGGAGCTGAAGACATAATGAAGGTATTTCCAGATTGGTATCCTGATAGATAGCCGCCAATGAATTTAGTTTACATGCAGATGGACTCTAATTGTAAAGATTTCATAATATTAGGAATACAAGATAAAAAGGCTACGCTCTGACCCATTATGCCCAAGAAAGGGGCAATGAGAATTTCCCTAAAAGTTGTTCTGTCCAATTGTCTGAGAAGGGAAAGAGCATCTTTGAAGAAAAGGTGCAATAGCAATGGTGCTAGGAAGAAGTTAAAATATAGGAAAAAAGGAAAATTTTATTTTCTACTTAATTAATATCCTTCTTTATCCATTTCATTAATCTATGTCTTATTTCTGAATAGTGTTTTGGCACGTTATTCCCACTTTTACTTTCCCTCCTTCTCTTCAATTGCTTTACAAGTGCACTTAGTCCAAGTAACTCACACAAGTTTAATGATCTATGTCCTACATGAATATTACAGTTACATCAAAATTCCCCCCCCCCCATAGGGCAGTCACTTAATTTACCTCTTACTGTACCTAATATAACTGATGATAACAGGCAGTGTAGACATACTAATTCAGAATTTTTAAATCTTGTTTACTTATTTACTTGAAGTCATCTATTTATCTGAATTGTAAGACTTTAAAAGATAAAAGAATAACACCAGGTACAAATAGGAAATATTCTTGATATTAATAACTGATCCAATTATAAATATTTTAGTACGTTTATATTATTCAGATGTAAAACCAAGCCCAGTCAAAAAAAAAAATGAGTCTGGCTGTTTTTCCATAAACATGAAATCAAAGTGAAAGCAGCATTTTTAAAGGAAATGTTCCAAGATATTGTTAGTATGGGATAAGAAGTTCTAGAGACAAATTAGTTTTAGAGCAAAGCTGCTTTGGTTTGACAATGAAGTAGAAACAAAAATAGTCAAGGGCAAAAGTATGAATGGTAAGTAATAAAGGCAACAAGGGTATTGGAAAGAACCCATGTTCATGATTTTCATAACTCATGAAAAAATAATCCTAAAGCAAATGCTTCCATTAAAAATCATTCCAAAGAGAACAGAAAAAAGAAAAAAATAGTAAGTCTTTTTCCATCTTCCCAGTAGCTCTTTCTCATTCAATGATGTTGGATCTTTCTCCAATTTTTGGAGTAAAATGTCCTTCATGAGAACACAGCAGGTTAGATTTTTTTAACTAAAAAAGTAATCCCCAAACATAGTAGTCATGTGTTTATAATTAATCCTGACACTTTAAAAAAGCAGTACCAGTGAGCTTCGTATTATATATATAATTAAAAACAATTTGGGGGGGTGCCTGGGTGGCTTAGTCAGTTAAACATCTGCCTTCAGCTCAGGTCAAGAACCCAGGTCCTAGGATAGAGCCCTGAGTCCAGCTCCCTGTTGAGGGGCGAGGGAAGGTGGCAGCGGCGACTAAAGTCTCCCTCTCCACCCTGCTTGTGATCTCTCACTCTCTCTCTCTCTCCCTCTCAAATACATAAAATTTTTTAATGAAAAAAAATAATTTGAATGAATAAATAAACAGCAACAACAAAAAAAAAAAAAACAATTTGGGTCCTTTCATATGCAAGAGATAGACAAAGTTAAAATACCTTAGAAAACTTTTGTCAAATTTACGTAAAATGGCAACTTAACCAAAGAACTTGAAAAATACTTCAGCCCTAGGCTAGCATGAAATTCCTAAATGCTCTTCTTGCCAGTTTTAACTGGCAAACCAAAGACAAACAAAAAACTTACAACAGAGACTCCTGTTTCCTGACTGAAGTACTTTTTGTTGGCAATAGAAATTAAGCCATCAAACACACCAGCACTTTGCTTTAATTAAAAAACAAAACAAAACAGCCCTTTTGAGAGTAAAGCACATTTCAGAACTTTTCACCTGGTACCTTAAGAAAGGCAACTATTGGAGTCCACAGGTCAAAAGGAGTGGAGAAGCAAAGTTATCACGCCAAAGATCACGAAGAGTATTTACAGGCTATCGCTTCCAACCAAACATCACCAAGCAGCCTCAGTGCAAAAGATGACCTTCCACCATGTTCCCCAAGGCTCTGATCCTTCCTATTTTAGAAATTACAAGCCACCACAATTACCTCTGTGGGTTAAAAGCTGCAGGTTGAAGCTGTATCCCTCACTTAGGTTTTTATTCTCCAAAGTGCACAAAAGACAGGATTTTCAGATGGTAGAGATCCAATATCTCTAAAAGATTTATAGATAAATATGTGGTTTTAGATAATTTATAATTTATCTATAAATTTGTCAATTTATAGATAAATTGTGGTTCCTGAGTACTCACAGCAGGGGTATGTATGTCACCTATAACTGGCAACCTCCATACATACTGAATAAATCACCATGAAACTTAAGAATCCAAACCTTTAAATTTATAGTGTGCTGTTTCACCCCAAAACATTACTCTAAGAGCTAAAAGTCTGATGCATTGAATCCTATATAAAAGTCTTACCTGTTTGGCTTTCAAGTTCTTTCCAGTCGAACTTTTTTCACTTGTACTTGCATCCATTCCTCTCAGAACACTGATGAAATCTTTCTTGGAAACAGTTGATATCAACTTAGCACGTTTTCTAATAGAGCTTCCAGCTTCTTTAACCTTTTCATCAACATTCTTTTGATGCTTCTGAACAGCATTAAATAACTGTACCACACCCCTAGAGAATATAAAATGACCAGAACAACACAGTTAAGTAACAGTTACACTAGAATACAAGTCATGAGGGTAAGAACAATAGGTTTTTACTGCTTAGGAAAGAGGCAAGCATTTAATAGGCACTCAAATGAAAAGAAGTGAATCTGAAAAAAATGAACATACATTTCAATGAATGAATACAAATTTCTGAATAAAGAATAAATATATGTGGACTGATATGTGATTTTTCTTCACAGCTTTCATCTTTCTAAATCAACTTTTGTGCAATTAGAATGAAAAACTATTTTTAACACAAACACCTATTTCTCAAAATATAATTACGTAATAACTGAAGGCATCACAATGTAGTGGAAAGAAAATGGCCTCTACAGTTAGCTGCCTAACCATCTAACTCTAGGAAAGGTTTTCTAGATTTCAATTTCATCTATAAATGGGAAAAATAATACTCAGGTACTTTACAAAGAAGTTATATTATCTGCAACTCTTCTAAAACTAACCTTAAGGGGATCCCTGGGTGGCACAGCGGTTTGGCGCCTGCCTTTGGCCCAGGGCCCGATCCTGGAGACCCAGGATCGAATCTCACATCAGGCTCCTGGTGCATGGAGCCTGCTTCTCCCTCTGCCTGTGTCTCTGCCTCTCTCTCTCTCTCTCTGTGTGACTATCATAAATAAATAAAAATTAAAAAAAAATTAAAAAAAATAAATAAAATAAAACTAATCTTATAATCCTATTTTAAAATGAAATAAATACTTTGTTCTATAGTTAAGTTCATTCCAAGAAGAATTCTGAAGATTAAGACCTCCAGCATCCATTACGGTAGCCATGAGCCACATGTAGTTAGTGAGCCATGAAATGTGGCTGGCTGTTCCAAATTGCAATATGCTCCAGGTTGAAAATACACACTGAATTCTGAAGACTTAATATGAAAAAAGAGAATTTTAAAATCTCTTAATTGTTATTAATCTTATTAATCTCTCTTTTTTTTAAATTTTTATTTATTTATGATAGTCACACACAGAGAGAGAGAGAGGCAGAGACATAGGCAGAGAGAGAAGCAGGCTCCATGCACCGGGAGCCTGATGTGGGATTCGATCCCGGGTCTCCAGGATCGCGCCCTGGGCCAAAGGCAGGAGCTAAACTGCTGCGCCACCCAGGGATCCCTTATTAATCTCTTAATAATTGTTTTATATTGATTATATGACAAAATAATAATACTTTGATTATCTTGGATTAAATAAAATACATTAGGACAATAAATTTCATCTCTCCCTCTTTTTTTTTTTTCTGTATTCAACGTGTCTACCAAAATGTTTTACATTATATATGTGGTTCCCATTATATTTTTTTTTAATTTTTATTTATTTATGATAGTCACACACAGAGAGAGAGAGAGAGAGAGAGAGAGAGAGAGAGGGGCAGAGGGAGAAGCAGGCTCCATGCACCGGGAGCCCGACGTGGGATTCGATCCTGGGTCTCCAGGTTCGCGCCCTGGGCCAAAGGCAGGCGCTAAACCGCTGCGCCACCCAGGGATCCCATCCATTATATTTCTAATGGACAACACTGACTTAAAGCATTACCATCCTTTCGAGCTCTAATTCTATCACCAGGAGAGGCACTCTGCCATGCGCCCTGAGTATCCCTGCACATTCTTGCTAGGTTTTTCAAGGATGCAAGGCCCTGACTGTTCTTTACACAGGGTATTTCTGAGAGTTGGGTTTGTAGGACGCAACCTTGAGCGATGAAGTAACATCGCCCCCCCCCCAACAAAAAGCGGGCTTGTTACCATTCACCATAAAAGCAAGAGATTTCCAAGTACAGTATTCTTCTGTAACACTACCCACTGCATGCTCAAGCATCCATACTGGACATCTATGTTACCACTGAGGGATACAGAGAACCAGTAGAAGTGTGATGCTCTGGCTACTGCTTTCCCAAGAGTAATAAAGTCATTTGTCTCTGACCCAGAAGTCTCTGGTCTTCTGGCAGTATCCAGAAAACTAACAGGCTAGCTTATTAGCTTATAAGGAGTATAAAATTCTATACCCTTAAGAGCAGGGCTGGGACGAAAGTGAGGAAAGGGAGGTGCCTCAGATATAAAATTTAAGAAGGCACTTACTCTCATGCACCAACCATGCACTTTTCTAAATTCTTTACATGTTTTTAATTTATTTAATTCTCAGAGAAATCCTGCAGGGTAAATATAATATTCTACTATTTTTATAGATAAATAAACTGAGACAGAAAAATTAGGTAGCATGAGCAAGGACACAAAGGTAATAAGTCAGTGCTGGGATTTGAACCTAGCGGTCTGGCTCTATCTCACTGTAGAACTCCAATATGAATTAAAGAATGACCCACATAGTGTAAGGAACTAGATAATCAAAAATAATTCCGCTAAATATAACTGCTATATTCTTGAAGTAGCAGCTCAAATGTTCTCTCCTCTGTGAAGTCTTCCCCAACTCCCCTGACAATCTCCTGCTGTACCTCTAGTACATACCTCTAGTCTCAAAGAAGACTGTAGTTCCTACAGGTGAGTAGACAAGGAGCACCTGGCAGCCACCAGATTCTATTTATCTCTGGACACAGAGGGTATCAAATAAACATTTGGTGTCAGTGATTAAAAAAAAAAAAAGCAGAGTGAAAGGACAGCATAAAGCTGCTGTAACACATAATTCATTATGACCTAAGTACAACATAACAAAAACGATCATCTATCGCCATAAATTCAGACAACTACCGTAAGAGAAATGCACGTCTAATTACACTGCTCTTGTAATTACAAAAACAATACGATCTGCAAAAGGTTCAAACCAAATATACAGAGGATGTTATACTCTTGCCTCATGAGATCTGCGAAATCTTTGGTTGAATTCAGTATTAAATAGGCAGGTTTTGATATAAACCACTTGGCTCTGAGAAGGCTGAGCTTAAGGATCAGGTATAGTCAGAAATGGATCACTATCAAAGCTTTACTATACTTATTTTTTAAAGGGTAAAAACAGTCTTACCTTGTTGCAATTCTCTGAAGATTCCTCTCTGTTTCTTTGTCTTTGACAACATCTGGCTTTACTCTGCACATCATTTCCCATTCTCGCTTCTTATCAAGCTGTGTTATAAATATTGTTATGTGAAAGAATATTAGGCATTTTTGAAAATGCAGCATACTTTGATATGATACTCTGTGAAAGGACAAAGGTAATAAATCACTCTGGCTTAGTTTGTCACCGGGACTGAAAAAACCCCACACTTTTAGGGGTTCAGCTCAGGGGGCCAGCCTGTGGTTAGCACTCAGCATGTCATGTGAGAAGCACAAAGTGAGTTTTTGTCAGGCTCTCTGAAGCAGGGGCCGGGAAAGCTGCCAGGACACTGAGCCAGGCAGGACAAGGTAGGGTATGAGAGAGCTACATACTTGACCCGCTACCACCAGATCATCAGAGGTAAGCATCAGGAAGACCCCAAACTACCATCTTTGATAACCACAAGTTTAAATACTTATTTATGTTTAAGAAAATCTTTCCCAATAGTCAGAATTATTAAGAATTTATATTAGCTTTTAAAATAATAGCATTGTATCCAGTAGTACTCTGGTCCCAGGCACCTGACTTTACACATCAATACACCACATCAGTATATACTGCTGCCTCGGGCCAACATATCACCTACAATCAAATACACTGAATATGATCAACTGATCACCAGGAAGCTAGTGAGCATCAAAAGCAGTAGTAAGAATCAGTAGGAAGAAAATCTCCTTTTATCTATTCCTTTTCTGCATCCACCTAACCTCTTACTTTGTATTAATGAAAATGTCTAATCACAGTAAAACAAAATTCTTGCTCTCACTATAAAGATTAGCCTGATTCCTTTCTAAAAAAAAAAATAGATTCCTCCCCAAAGCAGATAATTTACTTTAACTGTCATGAAATTCACCATCAGATTTTGCCAGAAATTTAAAAATCTTACTTTTAAGTCTAAAACGGTTGAGTCTTAATTATCTGTAGTACTCAAGACATGCATGATCCCAAAATACTTTTTAACTCTGAAATATATTTTTATACTTAGGACTTATTCGGAATAAGTACCTGATATTTCTTAAACTTATTAGAAACAAGTACTTGATATTCTGGAAACTGATAATATTTAAGTAAAAAAAAAAACCTGATAATTTGCACAGAATCTACTCAGAAATATGTAAGAGCGTTTGTAGCGACTATGTCCTGTTTCTGGTATCAACATGTGTGTTTTCATGCATTATGTGAACAGTACCATCTCTAGCACTCAAAGGATTGGCCTAGAGCAGTCAGAGACTCATTTTTCTTGGCTTGAAAACATTCCTACTTTCACTAGAACATTGTGACTAGAGGTAATTAAGGATCATGATATTTTTAAAGCTTATTTCAGCTTTTGCCAGATAATAAAAATTCAAACTTTCAGTTGAAAAGCTATCAGTAAGATTTAGAGACAAAACTTATCTTAGAGTAAAATTAGAATATTGAGTTAATAACACAGTATGTTCTGTTTCTAAGAGCAACACTTAAAAAGTTCCATCTTCATACAGCCTTTTGCACAGAGTACTAGTATTCGGAACAAAGGAAATAATTCACCTTGAAACAAGATAAGGTGATGATGAACTTAAAAGGAAAGATATGCCAATTCAAATATGTTTTTCTTTCATTTTTACCTCTAAAGTAGCTCTTGGAAATCAGTCTTTTATATTGTCAGTATGACTATAGAATGTTATTTTTCTTTCATTAAAAAATAGTATTTATTTCACTAACCAAATACTTCATAGAAATACTTTATCAAATATAAGGGTTATTTAAACCTTATTATGGTTTATTTATTTTTATAATACACAACAGCATCCTGAAGTTCAACTTATAGCCTTGTATCAGTAGGCTGTCCTAGTCTAACTTCTATCAGTGACTTAAAAAAGTCATAATGAATTCGAGTTTATATAGCAGTAAAACAGTCCATTTTCAGAACTGTAATCAATCCCTAACAATGACATCTTCACAGATTTATACTACAAAGTAGGTTTTTAGTAAAAAGTAAATAACATTCTATTGGTTCAGAATCTAATAATGGTCAGCATATGGAAGCTAAACTGAATAAAATATTTAGATCCAAGAGCCACTGCCAAATGTATAATTTTCTTGATTTTAAAAGGATAAATTTCTCTGGAGTTTAATTTCTATTTGTTTACATAGGTGATTAAAAAGCAAACATGCTGGGAGCCCCGGTGGCTCAGTGGTTAAGCGCATCTGCCTTCGGCTCAGGGCATGATCCTGGGATCCCGGGATGGAGTCCCATGTCAGGCTCCCTGCGTGGAGCCTGCTTCTCCCTCTGCCTGTGTCTCTGCCTCTCTGTCTCTCTCTCTGCGTCTCTCATGAATAAATAAAATCTTTTTTAAAAAAAGCAAACATGCTCAATGGAGTAATTTAGGCTGGGTTTCTCAACAAAACCTTGGTTATTCATCCCTTACATAAAAAGCAGATTAAAACCTGGAATGTTAATTAGACAAACACAGCCAGGAACAATTTGGTACAGGCAGGAACTAGACGAGGCAAACAATCTAATCCACAAGACACTGGTAAGACACACCTGTTTCCTCTTCTCCAGTCTCTCTTGCTTTAACTTTTCTTTTTCCTTTTCCAGCTCTCGGTTTTTTACCAGAATACTGGGTTTACTTTTAGGAGTTTTTCTGTTAAGAATTTTAGCCATGGCATCTGCCCAGCCCATGTCAGTTCCAACACTAGCTTCTGCGGCATTTTCATTTCCATTGCCATAGGGTTCAACTTCATCTTCATTGTCAGCTTCCACTGCTTCATCTGAAGAAAAGTGATCCTTTTCCGATCCAAAACTTCTTGCAGAACCTAAGAGTAGAAACCAATTAAACTTTAACACTGGAGGAAGAGGCTGTCAAAGGTATGCCAGAAACCCCAGGACCCTTCATAAAGCTAACAGTTCTCCATCTATCTCCATTTCCACAAGAGGGAATTTTGCAAATCCCACGGCTGCGGTAATAGCAGAGAGCAAAAGGGCCCTTCATCCTGCCATCAGCCCCCAAAGACCTGGCTCAGCCATGCTGGGCTTCAGCACCCAAGACCCTGGCAGCAGAAACAAATTAACAGCCCACATCACCACCTACTGTCAAGGGAGCTACAGATAGCAACGTGGAACAGTGTAGGGTGTGGTCAAGTCCATGGGCCTTAATTGTGTCATTAAACTACTTAAAGAGACTAATGAAAATTAATTTTAAAATGATTAACAACAAAATTTAATTCATCAAGGAAATGGTACAATGTTTCCATGGTACAGAGAAGTCAGAATAACTTCTCTGGAGATTTGATCCAGATATTTAAAATTCTGAATTTATGTGTAGAAAGATCTAAAAACAAACAAAACCTAGCCTCCTTTTATAAAATTTGCTTTTAACATTATAAAATTAGGTGTTTAACATTTCTGAAAAAACAATCTAATAAGGCAGTATTTGCCCAAGATACTGAAGATTCAACTGCACTGCTGTGTGACTCAATGACAATATCAAGGTCTTGCAGATACAAAAGCGTACTGTTGGAATTTTATCCTGCAAAACACCTGGAAAAAAAAAAAAAAAAAAGCATTTACAGGTTATTTGCCAGCTAGTTCATCGTACAAGGTTCAAATAGCTGGGGTCAGCAGCTTGTTAGAAATAAGAGTCTAAGTCCATGGCCTTGCTTGAAAATCAACTCATTGAGATTTTGTAGCTTAAGTTTTGTGGCCTTTCTCAACTTATGAAGTTCACTGTACTTGACCAACAAAAGACCAGCAGCCAGCATAGTCTGCATACACCTATATGACCCAGAGCCTTCTGGACAGCTTCTGTTTTGTTCTTCAGAAGACTATGGAACTTATTAGGAATTACCTCAAAGAAGAAAATCATCCAATAGCTTAGGAACTTGGAACGTTTCTTAATAAAGCAGAAGAGGAGCTAACAAAGCACTGCATTTCTGGGAGTATGTGCTGGGCCCATTGGCCCGTACCAAAACTAAGCATCATAACCAGAACCTGTTTTTACATCTGAGAAGTCTGCTTTTGTTGTTGTTGTTGTTACTTCAGAATCATGCACCTGCTCCTCAGCTCTAAGGTCCCCTTTCTTCCTTAATTCCAATGAAATGTGCATATTCTGCTTTTAACATTTCAGACTTCTGCCCCTTAATTCAGTTTACTGCCATGACCAAAATGACAGGAGCTGACTGTACAGTCGGCTGTTAATGTCTGAATGGTCCTCTCTAATCTTTCAACTGTAAGCCATGAATTAAGAATTAATTGCCAGAAAGATCCAACTTAGCCCATCATTATGATAACAACTGCAATTTTGCTATTACTTTTGCACAATACTTTTATTTAAGTGTTGGGAATTTATGAAATGAAAAAGACGTAAAACTAAATATTTAATACATTTCAGATAAAAATTTATGAGAAAACAAATAAAAAATATGAAACAAAATATTTTATAGATATTAAAAAATGAACCTCAGGCAAGTAAAAATAAAGTATCTTCAAAGCATGATAGTGTGTTATCAAAAAGTAAAGGAAATAATAAAAGAAATTGCTAATAATTCCACTGTCCTAATGTGCTGCACATTTCTTAATAAGAAGGAAAAAAGTTTTAAACAGAAAATCATTTGCCATATACTTAATCTGAAGGCTTCTCTGTATCCTGCATGCTGGGTAAATTTGAGAAACCTGAGGACATGTGATTCTAGGCTTTGACATGTAAATTAAGGTGACTTAAAGAACTTTATTATTCATAAAATATTTTTATTATTTTTTTAAGATTTTATTTATTCATGAGACACAGAGAGAGAGAGAGAGAGAGAGAGAGAGAGAGAGAGAGAGAGAGAGAGAGGCAGAGACACAGGCAGAGGGAGAAGCAGGCTCCACGCAGGGAGCCTGATGTGGGACTCAATCCCGGATCTCAGGATCACGCCCTGAGCCAAAGGCAGACGCTCAACCACTGAGCCACCAGGGCATCCCTCATAAAGTATTTCTGAAAGTATCTAGATTTTGCCAAACAAAAGCTGTTAGTACTATCATTCAGTTCAATGAATCTGAGTGTCTACTATGTACAGATTTCAGAGTCACACAATTTTTCTCTCAGAAGCATCCCTTTAATCAGTGTTTCCCGGAAAGTACACTAAGAAACAAAGTTTGGAGAATGCAATTACTTGAAAAATAAATATGTTAATATTATACATGTTTTATTCCTCAGAGTCACTAGCATTGCACAGGTATTTATAACAAAATAAACAAATGGCAAGTGCTTCTTCTAGTAAGAATTTATCTAAAAATGTAAAGAGGCATAATGGCTTAAATGTTTGTGTGAATGAAGAATACCAGGGTGATTAAAAACAGAAGGCTTTACCAGCCCCAGATAAAATGTCAAAACTACAATACTGACATCTAGTGTTTTGTCCTGATGCACTCACACACAAATGGCGACAATTTCAGCTTCTCAGTTGCATTGCAGAGGCAGCCAGGAGATTTGAGGGCTGTTAAGAGCTACCTCAATATCAACTTCCAAACTCTGTCTCTTTTCCTTGGTGTTTCTTACCCAGACTGACTACCACAATATGCATATTATAAGCACACAATAAATCCATGAAAAGTCTTACAACACCATTTCATACAACCTGTATAAACCAATTTAAAAAATTTGAATTCACTAAATTCATAATTTGTTTGATTTGGTTTGTTTTAAGATGTTCTAGCTCAGAGGTGCCTGGCATTCATTGCAAACAGAAATGATCACATTTTATATAAATAAAAAATACCAACATAATGAGGTCCTCTAGCATACCAAAAGCCAGGATTTACGTCTAGGGTACCAAAGATGAAACAAATCAGAAAGCAAAACTGGTTCTTAAAGTTTTACTGTAATCTATGAAGATGAGTTTTGTCTTGTTTTTAATTTTCTAATTGATCTTTAACAACGGAAGTTAAGTGCACCTATTCAGGGTACCAGATAAGTAAAAAATTCCTTTGAAATCTTTTGTATTATCTTAAATATTAACTGTAAGTTTGCATTCTATTTTTAGAATCTGGAAATTAAGGAAGGGCTAAAAAGAACGCTTACTAGAAGCAGTAACTAAAGGTTCCAATATAACTTTCCGCATTCACGGAATGTTCTATTATCAAAGCTGACCGCTAGCCAGTGGGCATCAGAGCCTTATGAGTGCTTCAAATGCAGCTAGTACAACTGAGGAACCAAATTTTTCATTTTAATTACTTTAAATTTAAAAAGCCACATGTAGGGACAGGTGGATGACTCAGTTGGTTAAATGTCTGATTCTTGATCTCAGGGTCCTGAGTTCAAGCCCCACGTTGGGTTCCATGCTGAGTGTAGAGCCTACTTTAAAAAAAAAAAAAAAAAAAAAGCCATACATGGCTAGTGGCTATCAGCTATCATATTGGCAGGGCAAGGTTAGACTTCCAAGGTTCTGAGGTAGACATAAGCATTTCCCATCTCCTACTGCCTTTTCTCCAAACTTCCAGCTCCCTTTCAAATTTACCAGCTGTCTCAGATCCCAGATATGGTTAATGTTAGCTGGAATGTGGGATAAAGTTTTAAGAAAACTTTATTGATGGTAAAGGGGAAATGGTGAAGGGGAAAATGAAAAATCTAAGTCTAGGTTTCTCTCCTTGAGAAGTCCTATGTTTAGCAGGATAGATCAGTTAACCAACCAGAAAATTTGGTTTTACAATTATGTAAAATTTGTAAGTGCTCTTCTGGAAAAAGAGGAAAAAAAAAAAAAACGGCAATGAGGAAATGGTGACTGGGAGTATCTTTTACAAAAATGGTGTTAAAGTTTTTTCTTAGGTAAAGCAAGGGTTGAATTAACAAAAGAAGGGAGGAGGTCAAAGAAGTAAGATTCCACAACCCAAGTGAACTAAAAGAGGCAGGGGGCATGATCACCAAATCTAGAACTAAAAACTTCCTAGATCTGAGTCAATGCCCTGTATAAAAATTAAAATTATTATGATCCTTATTATGGGCATTCCAAGCAGAATAAACCAGTATGTCCAAAGGCATGGGAATGTTAAAGAAGGTGAGATGCTTATGAAATGACAAGAAGTTCAGACTGTTTGAAACCAGATCTGGAAACTGGATAGTAAGAACTGAGTATAAAAAGCTGGCTTGTTTATAAAAAAGTTAGTCTGATTTATGATCCGAGAAATAAAATATGCACATTAGCCCCCAAATTAAAACCAAGCGGTTTAAAATCACCACACTAAAGGTGTGTGTTTACAGTAACAGGCCAAACTGCTAGTGCTTTTTTTTCTCTTGAAACTTATCATCGGCCCTTATGTTTAAAAAGTTTCTCTATTAGATTAAGAAGGGTGTACTTTTAAATACAAATACCATCTGGGAGCATTAAGGTTATTGTTTAACATTTAAGTTTCTTCACACCTTTAGACTTACCCTAAATCAAACGGAATGCCTCATATAAAAACTTAGTAGAGATCAGCTAGTAGTGGGATGAACACAGACATCAAGGCTGCCTGAATTCAATCTCAACTCAGATACAAAATTCCCATCTGTAAAAATGGCAATAAAACAGTATCAACTTCATTGTGGTTTTGTGATAATTAAATGAGTTAATATATATTTAAGTTCTTAAAAGACCACCTAGCCCATAGTAAACATTTAAGTGCTGATCACATACCACACACACAGACACACACAATTAGAATTTTAACGTGGTTATGGAAGAGAAATGAATAAAGAAGGAATACCTCTTAGAGGTAGCTGGAATTTGCAGGACATGTGATGTGCTGAATGGGAAGCTTTAGAGGACTAGCAAGTCTAGCACAAGGGTGAAGAGATCAG